TGTGGTATTAGTTTGTTTATATTTTAAGTTTCGAACGATTTTAATAAATATTGATCGAGTAAATGAATTTTCATTTATTGCCAGTTTTTTCCACCACTACTGTAGCTAAAATATTTGTATTAAATAATTTAAAAAATTTGTATTAAATTGGATAAACTCTTATTAAGCTATAAAAAAATATTTTTAAAGGAAATTCAATATTAAAAATGGTTAGAATGATGTCTAGAAAAATAAAATTAGACAGTGTAACAATAAAAAAATGTCATATAGAATGATGAATTAAATTTTTTTTTGTAATGATAGTTTTATTAAGTTTAGCATAAACTGAATACCTAATTTAATATTGAAAATTTAAATTTATTTGTTAAATATAATGGTGATGAAGTTATAGTTTAAGAATGATTTTTAGGCAAAGAATTAGACTCATTAATAAAAATAAATGAAACAATTAATTATTATAATTATATAAAAATTTTAGATGATAACTTATTGCCATTTGTTAGTTCAAAATTTTACAATTTATCTTATAAATTTTAACATAATAATGTATCTATTTATATAGCTAAAGATATAAAAACATAGGTTATTGAAAAAAAATTAAAATGTTAATTAATTAGCCTATTTAATTTTTAGAATTAAATTCTATTAAATATATGTGGAATCATTTTAAATGTTCATTATATAACTATCTGAATCTTTTTAAAATCTTGTGGATTTAGAAATACAACTAAAAGAAGAATGAGAAAAGATTCTGCAAAAAACTTATCTAAAATTAATTGATAATATGGCTTAAAGAATAAATAAATGCATGTATTGAAAAATAAACCAAATTTTCAAAAATTGCATAAATTTATTTCCATTTAATATATATATTAGATAAAATGGTTATATTATTTATTATGTAAGTTATATTTGCAGACAAATTTGCTTGCTAAATAACTAAAATGATTTATTATTTAAAAGAAATTTATACAAAAAAATAATATATATTGATTAATTTTACTATATGTAAAATTTAAAATTTATTCAAGTGTATAGATAATAAAAATTCTTAAAATTATATTATAAAATAAGTTGAATATTATTATTAAAATATTTTAAATCAAAATATTTATTACTTGCCATATAATCAATTTAAATCTAATAGTAATTTTAAATTAAAAAATTACAATTTACTAAAAATAAAATAAGAAAAGAAAACTATACCGACTCCTTATATTTACAATAAAATTTAATTAAAACTATGTAACAGTAAAAATAATATAAATTCTCGTACTATACTTCTTTTTCCAAAGAAATAATCAATTATATAATTTCTCAAAGAATTGAGTTTTATTATAAATAAAAATTATTAAAAATAAAAATTGCTTTTACTAATAATACATAATAATTAATGATTTCAATCTGTTAATAACTTTTCGTTAAATAATGTCCTAATTTAGTTTTTCTCTCTTTTGTTTGTTTATCCCTTTTTTTTTTTTTTTTAATACTTTAAAAAAAAAAATAATAATAATAATAATCATAGTCAGTTTAAGTGCAAGCAATATTTTCGATAGGCTGTTTCCGTAATCTTTCTTCTTCTTCTTGCCTTGATTTCCTTTCTTGTTCCTCTTTTAATTTTCTAGCATTTTCCGCTTCTTCCATTAGCCAGCATTTAGCTGAAATTTTGCAAACTCGACATTCATCCTTAACGTGTAATTGCACGGCGATACTTTTAAATATCGTATCCACGATCTCAGCACGTAAAAGTAAAGAATGTTTGCCACCTTCAATCAATGACAATTTACAGTCAGGCATATTATCTTCCATCCATTTTACTGCCGATACTGGAATCCTTTCATCTTTTGTGCCGTGGAAAACGTGTACAGGATGATTAATATCAGTGTATGAAAATCCAAATGAATGACGTCGCTCGAAACACATAAGCAAATCATTATTAGCACCAGATAAATTTTCAGCAAAAGAAGCCTTAAGGATTGCAATTCCTAATTGTTGTTTTTTCTCAAGGCTTGACATTGGAGAAGCCAAAGCTCCAGAATTTCGTTGATGTAATGGTTTAGTGGAATAAGGTTGTCTCCCGTGAAGCATTTGTTGTAAAGAAATCCCTGCAGTGTTAGTGAGCTTCATAATAGGTGTAGGAACGAAACGTAGCCATTTAAAATTATTGGCGATCGTTGTGCTCACCCACGGACATACAAGATATATAGTTCCTTGCAATCTTTCAGGTATCTTCATAGCACAAGCAAGTGCGTATGGTGCACCAGCGCTGTGTGCCATAATAAAGAATTTATCTATACTAAGTATTTCACAAAGCTCTTCAATCACATCTTTGAAGGAATAAAAAAAAAAAATTAATTAATTAAATAAACAGATGACAAAATTAGTAAATACTAAATACGATAATAATTTAGAAATAAAAATGAATATATTTTGTTACATAAAAAAGAAACAAATAAGTTATAATCATTATAATTCATTTGTATAACGGACACGTTATTCATATAATTCATACCTGGCCACTTCAATACTTGTTGTTCATCTACCTTGACGTCATCTGAAAGTCCAACACCTGGTCGATCAGGACATATCAATCTTAACCCATAACTTGAGGCAAGGTCATCAAAGAAAGCTATAAAATATCTCACACAGCCCATTCCTAAAAAAACTAAAACTGGGAAACCATTTCTATCTCCTACTTCGGAAAAACTAACAACTCTCCCGGTTTTTAATCTAACACGCTGAGTTAAACGCGGAGCTGCTAAGAAAGTTGTAATATCTAAAGAATTATCTTCTTCTGTGGTCTCATTAGATGATAAAGAAGTTGTTGATGGTGATTTAATACTAGATGATGTATTTATGCTTGATGTAGATGGTGATGAAGTGGTAGATGATGATTCCGAAGAATACTTCTGCGAGAGGGTAAATGATGGTGGTAATAGCGGTGGAAGTTGTGATGGATTATTTAAAATTATTGATGAGTCTTCATTTATATGACTATATGAGGATGATACCGAATGCAACGTAGGTGTAGAAGGCGGGCGACCAAGAGGAGGATTTGAACGAGGTATTAAATCGCCAGCTGTACTAGAAATTAATGAAGCACTTTGAAGAGTATTTGAAGATTTTCGTGGTGGAAGAGCAGATTTAGGTCTTAATTTTAATTTCTTGGTGGAAAATGTAGCTGATTTTTGTTTAGATAATGATAGGGATGTAACGCTAGAGGATTCTAATGAATTATTATTATTATTTGATTTCGATACAGATTTGTCAAGAGTTAAGTTTGAAAACGAACGTCGAATTGATACCGAGACACCACCGCTTTTAGAACTAGAACAATTCTCAACGGATGCAGCAACAGAATCTTGGGTATTATCATCCATTTCTAATTCGCGTATATAAATAAATATATGATATGTAATATAATACAAATTGAAAAACTACAAATTAATAATTACTGTAAAAAAGAAGAAAAAAAAAAAAATCGTTTATAAATAAAGTGAGTAATATGAGTTATAAGCAAGGGTTGTATATTTCTTAAGGAAAATTTTTAAATAACGGACGTACCATAACATTGGAATTTAAAAAAGACAAGTATAGTGATAAAGGTGATGACCTTGTTAACTTCATATAATTTTATTAAAAAAGAAATAAATGAAATAAATTGTCCTTGTTTCCTCTTAAATTATATTGTGTTATACACGTTTTATAATACAAAAAAGAAGAAACGATCTACGTAAAGACAAGCGGCGGAGAAAATCGTCAATAAAGTATTACAAGAAAATAATTAAAGGAAGAAACAAAGTAAAGGAATGAAATTTACTAAGATAAAAAGGATAAGTATTGAAAATTTGTGATATGCAAAGTATGCAACACGATTATAACAGTAGTTACAGGCGATGTAACAAACACCCGAATCAGAGAGAACCAATCGTTCATGTAGGAAATATTGCACGGAATAGGCAATAAATTTGTCCTTCATTACAGACACTAGAAGTTAGAATACAATTAAGTAGGCGAATTTTCTGAAAAATCGTGTTCATTTTACGCGTCTTTTTTTGTTTTTTTTTGTTTTTTTTTGATTTCCTTTTTAATTGCTAGACTCTGTTTGGGCTCTGTGCCTATCACGTGATTGATACAACATCAAAAATTTGGGAATATAAGGAGTCGTACATTTAATCCAAGTATATTTTTTTAAATACTTATCACGTGATATGTACAGGGATAAGAGCCTGAACCTGGGGTACATTTTTCTTAATCTAATTACGGAATCTCACGTGATTAAATTTTAGATCGCGAATCTTACGACAAAAAAATACTCGAATTTCATCCTTTACGTAAAATATAAGTTTATGATGACACGGGGCAATTAATATTAATAAAAAAGATTTGCATTTGTGCTCTGCCATAGGAAAATTAAAATTAAGGAGAATCTCCTTATTGATATTCATTCTGAATGATTACGTTGTACCAATTGTACATTTTTTTATAAACCAATTCGAAAAGTGCGAGGAATTTTTCTCACCCTTTTCCTTTTTTTTTTTCAAATTTAACTTTTATACCATTCATTCGATTATTTTATGATAAATAAAATTTAAATTTAAAAAGAATGGAAACGAGTTCGACTCCAAGAAAATCTTTTGGTGTCAATTATGCTCAACAACAAATACGCCAAAATTTGAACAACTTCCCTGAATATTCAAATACGAGTCATTATAATGATCATGTCAATGCTATTCCAACATCAGGGAGAGTTGATGAATTTGAGCCGCTTCTTTCAGATGATGATGACGACGATGATGATTCTTTATCAGACGACCCTTACCCAAGTTCACCTCCGAGACCAAGACACCATGGGATACTTGCTATGATTGCAATTTTAGATCTAATTACAATTTTCGCATGCGCTCTGTTCTCGATGCGTAAAGCTTGGAATGATTCTGACCAATGGGATTGGAACAAAGTTTCATGGGACTTGGTTAGTTTCGGGATATTTCGGATAATTGTGGCACTAGGTGTGGCTTTCTCTATTTGGATCAGGGACCTGGGTTGGATGTTGGGCGTTGCATGCGGGGTAAGTTATTCATCTTTGTAAATTCCATTTTTGTTTACATTAATCATCTATTAAGAAATTATTTAAACTAAAAATTTCTTAGGCTTCCACATTGAACATAATTTTTAAGGCCAATTTTTTAGTTCAATCTAAACATTCTCCCGTAGGATTTCTCCCCGTTTTTCTCTTAATTTCTTTTTTCTTCTCTCAAATATACTGGATCGCTTTCATTTTAATAACAACAAATAGGAAACGACAAACGTATTCTTTACAAGATAATAATATTTATTTTGAGGAACAAGTAGAATATAATCAATCTAGCCCTTTAAATACTCTTCGTAGAGGAATAACATCAAAGTCAAATACGCGAACTTATGGTGCCGCTCTGCACGCTAGTGATGATATTGACGTTTTAGTAAATGACGGTGTAATAACTAATTCAGCAATCGACATTTTAACAGTTAAACAAGGTTATAATATTGTTAGAATAGCTAATACTTCTAGTGTGACACCAACATTTCCTAAGGCCGCATCATTACCGATCCCGATTGCATTATCTGTTGCAAATTCAGAAGGAAGTGCAAAATCGTTAAAGAGGGTTAAGAGAAAAATGAAATTAAAAGATAGTGAACTTCCTTTACATAACCGTAAGAGTAGAGACATTACGGAAGAAGTTCAAGTTGATGAACTATTAAATGAACAAAAAAATGATGTTAATAACAACGGAGGTACTTCCAAAACATTACCAATTAATATTAAATCTGATAATGACGATGATCATTTATTATTGAATGATGATTACGATTATGAAGGATTGTTCGTAACTTCCATCGGACGCGGTGGTAGCGTTAGGGATCGAGAGAGTGTATATTTTCAACCACCAAAAGAAGATTTTCTTGATTTTAGATTATCTGCTTTAAATGATGAATCCGATGATGAAAACAATAGAAATGTTGCAACAAGGGTTAGTGATGATTCTTCAGATTCGAATGATGAATTCTCTCCGAAGAGACGTGAAAAATCTACCGCATTTATTGAAATTAATTCCAATAATAAAAAGGCTTCGACTTCACATGAAAAAGCTTATGCCCTACGTAAATATCCAAGTGAAGGTTTAGGTGATGAAGAGGATGGTGATTTTAATTTTTCGAGGAATGGTGGTGATTTCGTTGGGAGTGCACCAGTTGGTAATGGGAGATGGTCTACTTTGAAGAGGAAAAAGATTGTTAATAATCGATTTAATGAAAATATTAATGTTTTGAATATTGATGAAAAAGAAAATGATATTTCAAAAAAGACTTCAAGTCAGGATCAGACTTTGAAAGAAATTTCTAAACCTTCTGAACCAATAGAAATTATTCATGATAAAAATTCTAAAGAGAATATTAATTATAGGCCTGTTATGTCCTCTAATACTAGTTTATTGACCGCCGCATTTAGTTCTGAATTATTTCAAAATAATTCTAATATTGAATCATCTAAGAAATCCGAGTTACCTGAAAAGCAAAATGGACAATCATGTAAAACAAATAATTTTGAATCACCTCCAAACCATAATATTTCCATTTCATCCCCAGTAATTAATTTTACACCAAAATCATCTTCGCCTTTGGCTTCTCGTGTTCCAATTTTAGCCAAAACTGAAAAAGAAATTGAAGACAACGAATCAACACAAGTTAATAATGAGACAAAATCAAATATTTTTGATAAGAAAATTAGTCTTCCACCACCTCCTTTATTGCCTAATTCATCAGAAATTGCCGACGTCTTGTTATCTCCTATAGCAGAAGAATCAAATCCATTATTATTAAAAAGAAATAAAGATCTTTCGCATGTCAATAAAAACACTGAAATGGAATTTAATAATAATAAGAAGAATAATAGGAAATCAAATCATTCTCGTGTACCTTCAAATTCACTTCAAATGTTATTTGTTGATATTCAAAAAGATAATGATAAAAATAATCAAGAAAACTCAAACGGTTCAAATTATAATTTAGAAATAAATAATGATAACGATAATCAGACAATTTTTACGAGGAATTTTAATTTAGCAGTAAGAAAATCATGGAATAATGAATTTAATGAAGCAGAAAAAATATTTAATCAGTTTAAAGATGTTGTACCAAGGTGGAACGTTGCTTATGCTGAAATGCAATTGATTAAGAATTTCATGACAGGTCAATCATTAGATAAGGAAGATCCAGAATTAACCAACGCTCTCATAGAAGCTGAAAAGTTGGCGATAAAAGTTTGTGAAAACAAGGATGATTTTGTAAGATATTTTTATAACTTTGAGTATTCTAACTTATAAATTTCACAGAAATTAAATTAATTTTTTTTTATTTTTTTTAAAAAAAAAAAAAAAATTAACAATAACAATAATAATAAAAAATAATAAAATAATAGGAAACATCATTATCTCTGTTTAGAACAAATATATGGAAGGTATATATTAAACCAAATAGCAATCCAACGGAAGATGAAGCGAGTTATGCGTCATTACGTGCAAATTATCGATGGGATTGTGAATTAGCAATGGCAGATATTCTTCTTTTCCATGCAGTTTTACAAGTTGTAGGAGGAAGCGAAATTAAAGGGGCATTAAATTTACGTAAAGTATGGAAAACTTATTCAAAAGTTCGTGATGAAATCGATAAGATTAAAGGAGATTCAGGAAAGCATGATAATCATAAAAATGAACCTAGTAGTTCAAGCAGTAGATGGAGTCTTGGAGGTGCGATATTAGGAAGAAGAGGAAGTATAAGTAATATGGTTGGATTTGGTGGAACCAAAAATCATCATCAGGATGGATCAAGTGCTACAATTGATGGAATTAATAATGTAGAAATATATCCTGACATTGAAGATTGTTTAGAATTTGGAATTGGAGTCTTTTATTTTCTCGTTTCAATTGTTCCTGGCTCGTTCCAATCAATATTAAAAGCAATTGGATTTATTGCTGAAAGAGAGAAAGGCATCCAAATGTTAGAAAATTGTCGTTTACGTGATGGAGTTAGAGCACCTTTTGCTGCATTATTCCTTCTTGCGAATTATTTGTTCCTTTCGCGAGGACTTGCCGATCCAACCCCCTCATTAAGCAAAGCGGGTATAATTGTACAAGATTGTGTTAGAAAATATCCGTAAGTTAAAACATCTATTTTTGAAATAATTAACTTTTTACCGATAAAAATCTAATTTAATGTATCTTTAATGTAGAAAAAGTTCACCATTCTTATTTATGGCATGTCAACAAGCAAGGAAAACTGGACAGATAAAAGAAGCCATCAAATATATAACAGATGGAATAAGTAATAGTGAAAAGATTGGAATTACAAGCACAAATTATAGATTTGAAAAAGGAATGACATATTTAATAAATCTTGATTTTTCAGCAGCAAAAGATATATTTGAATTATTATTTTATGGTAATACTATAGTATTTACAGGTAAAAATGGATCCATAAGATTACAAGGATCAATTCATGGATCGCGTCACGGATCTTCACGTTTACTTGCACGAGAAGGAAGTACAAAGAAAGATAATTCATTATTACAATTTTTTGAATTTGAATTAAGACCTTTTTGCGGATTATGTTTAGCCGGATGTTACCTTATGCTTAAATCAGGTCAACTAGCAGTGAAAGAAGCTTTAGATGTTCTTAAACAAACAAAGGCTATGACAAATCAAATTAGCGAAAGTAGTAGTAATAGTGTAGCAAATAGTATTGGATTGTTGGGTACAAGTGCAAGTGGATTGGTTGGTTTTGGAGTAGGAGGAAACAATTCTTCGGATAAAAAAGAACAAAAAGCCAATCGGTATAATAAATTTGCTGGACGTCATTCGGCCCAATATGTAGAAAAGAATTCGGTTTCTCCATTTTTATTATTCATTTTATTATATCTAAGAAGAGATCTTTTTTATATGTCTTTGGAATTAAAAAAGAGATGGGCGAATTTATTAGAATCTATTTGGAAGAATATTAAGGAACCCATCGATCCAGATATAAGTGCTGTCTATTTACTTATTCGGGGAGTCTTTGAAAAATTCTTAAATATCGATGATCCTACAATAGCACAAAAATCACTTTGTGAATGTTTAGCGATGGAAACAGGCATAGTCACAGAAACATGGGTAATTCCACATTGTAGATATGAGGTAATTATAAATTATTATTTAATATCACTATATATATATATATTTTTAACACTCATCACACCTTCGAATTTATTGAATAGCTTGGAGAATTATTTTATAAGCAATTCGGTAATCAAGAAGCGGCAATGGAACAATTTAGATGGGTCTTAAAAGGACCAAGGCCCATATCACGTGGTGGTTTAATACCTCGTAGAGATAGTAGTTTAAGTTTAGCATCATTAGCTTCTAGATCATCAACTGATTCTAATGCATCGAGTATGCTTAATAATCCCGATAGGTTTAAGAAATATGAATTTATCAAAGTTCTCAAACATCGTTGTACTGTTGCAACTGATCAAATCAGACTAAATGCTATACAGCCTACAAGCACTGTTGATGATAGCAAAGTAGAACAACCACAATCCACAAGTTTTTCTCATAGTCGAAAGAAATCTGGTTCAACTTCAAGTTTATTAAAAGAAATACAAGAGCAGTCTCTATTACAAAAGAAACAGCAGAAAGCCACACCACATCAAAAATCATCTTCAGAAAATACATTCGTTAAAAGACATAAACCAAGATCAATGAGTATGCCTCAGCAAGATATTAGTGAAGAATGTAGAAATAATAATGGTGGAGGTTCTAATAGTAATAAAAGCGGATTTAAGAGTAAATTATCGGGATTTAAATTTAAAAAATAATATTATATAACTCCGTAATATTGTTTTGTATTTATTATATTTATACATATATCAAATTTTTAAAAATATGTCTTATACTTATTATATAATGTATTATAATTTAAAAAAAAAAAAAATAATTATTATTAAATCTTTATTTCATATGATTTGAAAAAAATTAAATGTAAATTTTTTACAATTTGAATTATACATAAAACATAGTAATTTTTTAATAATATTTCAATAAAATAATTATTCTAAAATATTATATCTATAAATTTAAATAAATAATCAGTCATGGACTCCCATAATTCACCGCTATTAAGTAATCAATTAAAGTGATCGGCCATTTATATATTTTTATCTAAAATCAACCCTCTTATTATAATTTCTCTTGGCTCACGGTTATATGTTGCACATTTAAGCACATAAACAGGTAATTAAATTCTATTTCTACGTAATTTATAAATTCAAAAACTTATTTATGTGAAAAACATTTATTATACATATTTAATTTCCTAAAATGAATTGATTCGAGCTAACACCTTTCAAGCTAGCTATTATCCAAATTTATCATGATGAACATGAAAGTTGAAATATTTAAGGCATCAATCTTTTTCCGTTAAAAAAAAAAAAGAAAAAAAAAAAAAAAAATGTCAACAGCAGGACAAGTAAGTAACTTCCTTCTTAACCGTTATAAAAGAAAAAAAATAGAATTTTTGTTAATAAAAAAATTTTTTTTCTTTAATTAGGTTATTAAGTGTAAAGCGGCAGTAGCTTGGGGGCCGGCTAAGCCATTAAGTAAAGAACCTTAAAATGTTAATTCTTTAATTCAAATCCTAAGAGTTAAATTTTAATTTTTTGGTCATTACTTTATATATCGATAATTTTATAACTTTTGAACATAGGCATTGAAGAAGTAGAAGTTGCACCACCAAAGGTAAAGTTAAAAATTTATTGTGGCGCAGCAAATATGATCATGATTAAATGTAGAATTTTTTTTTTTACAGAAAGGAGAAGTTCGTGTAAAGATATTGGCAACTGGAGTGTATGCTTTCCCTTTTTAATATTCATTAAAACTGATTAATTATCAAATTAAACTTATGGTTTCTTCACGTGTTCTTTCAGTTGTCATACAGACGCGTATACTCTATCAGGCAAAGGTACGATAAAGGTCAAGTCTAAAGTTATACCAAACCGATCTATTCCTGAACTTTTTAGTTGTTTTACAGATCCTGAAGGAAAATTGTGGCCAACAATTTTTGGCCATGAAGGAGGTGGTATTGTAGAATCAATTGGAGAAGACGTTACTTCAGTCCAACCTGGGGATCATGTGATTCCATTATATATTCCCGAATGTCGCGAATGCAAATTTTGTAAAAGCGGAAAAACCAATTTATGTTCTTTGGTTAGATCTACTCAGGTAATATTCAAAATGTAACAAGATTAATTTTTCACGAGTTTTTTTTAAAACAAAAAAAAAAATCTCGTGATTTATCATAGGGAAGAGGAGTGATGCCAGATGAAACAACTAGATTTACTTGTAAAGGGCAGAAAGTATACCATTATATGGGTTGTTCTACATTTAGTCAATACACAGGTAAAAATATAAAAGAAAAATTCTATTATTTAAATGTAATATTTCAATTAACTAAAAAATTTTACCATATAAAAGTCTTGTTGGAAATTTCGGTCGCAAAGATTAATCCTAAAGCCCCACTCGATAAGATTTGTTTACTAGGATGCGGTATTACAACAGGTTATGGAGCGGCTACAAAAACTGCCAACGTCCAACCTGGATCTACAGTGGCAGTATTTGGTTGTGGTGGAGTTGGTCTAGCCGTAATCCAAGGTGCTGCAGCTCGTAAAGCAAGGTAATGTTATATAGAGCTTTATTACTAACTTTGACAAAACTTTTCTAATACTTTTTATATTTAATTAGTCGAATTTTTGCTATTGATACCAATCCAAAGAAATTTGAGTTTGGTAATTATTTTTCACATGATTATTTAAAGTAGATTACAATTTTTTAAAAAATGTCTCGTTCTCAATTCAACATAGCCAAGAAATTGGGAGCGACCGATCTTATTAATCCCAATGATTGTGATAAACCGATTCAACAGGTAAAGATTGATACTTCTTTTGATTCAGCCAAAAAATAAATAAATAAATTAATTATTATTACGATATAGGTTTTAGTTGAAAAGACGGATGGAGGATTGGATTATACATTTGATTGTACAGGAAATACAAACGTAATGAGAGCAGCACTTGAATCATGTCATAAAGGATGGGGAGAATCAATTATTATTGGAGTCGCTGGTGCAAATGAAGAAATTAATACTCGACCCTTTCAACTTATAACCGGTAGAGTATGGAAAGGGAGTGCATTTGGTGGTGTAAAGGGAAGAAGCGAGCTACCAAATTTAGTTGAAGATTATCTTGACAAGAAACTAGAAGTGGATATGTTTGTTACTCATCAATATAAATTGGAAGATATCAATAAAGCTTTTGATAATATACATTCCGGTGAAAGGTAGCTTTGTCATTTTATAAGGACGTTTCAATTCCTATGAATGAATCACTAATTAATTATTTTTATTTTTTCTTTTAGTATTCGTGCAGTTATTCACTTTGAATAATGAATTCTTTTCTGTATATTTACTTGATTTGTGAGAACGTAAACACGTTGTTTATCTTATCCGTTTATATAATAAAAATTCATATTCTAGTCCATTATCAACTTGACGTCCTTTAGGAACTTGTTCACCGACGACCTCTTCTAATTCCTCGTGAGTTGCTAAACTAAACACTTGTTCATCTATTTCGGGAAAAAATGTATCGCATTCAAAATCTTTATATATTCTTGTTAAAAGTATATAAACACAATTTGGTGAAGTAATTGCTTCTTTATAAATTTGGGATCCTCCTATTACAAATAATCTTGAAACCTTTGGAGAGTTGGTAAGATCTGTTATCGCTTCATCTAAAGATGAATAAATCACTTGATTCGCATCTCTTTAAAAGGCAAAAAGAAAATTTTAAAATTTACAAATTATTAATTACATGCATTAACTTATATTTTAAAAAACTTTACATGGTTTCTTCTTTATTGAGACTTTTTGATATTACGACATTTAATCGATTTCGAAGTGGTCGAAACTTTGGCGGTATAGAATCCCACGTTTTACGTCCCATAATTGCGGCATTTTGAATTGTATTATCCTCCGTTTGTAATATTCGTTTGGAAGTTCTTTCGAAATATGCCATATCTAATTTAAGTTTCCAGGGTAATTTATTATTGATACCAATTCCCCAATTTTCTGTGGCAGCTATGAAGAAAAAAAAAAAAAGAAGGAAATTGATATTAATTATAAATTTAATAAAGTTAAAGGATAAAAATTTAACATGAGATTACCAGCTATCATTGCGAAATTTGGTGGTTTAAAAAAGGGCATGATAAAAGTAATTCGTATAAAATAACGCGAAAAATAAAAGTTGAAAACGCGAAGCCCTTTTTTATGCCGACTTTTTGTAGTGTTACATAAGGCTTCAAATTAAATGGGCACCCAATGAAATTATGCAACATATCAAATTAATAATATGGTGTAACTTGGGTGCAGGGACGATGATTTTTTGTGGTGATGTAAGACAAATTTTGTGTGTGATAAAAGTGGATTTTGTGTTGTGTTGTGA